AATACTAGAAAATAATTTTCCGGAAACAAAATTTCACTCACCAACCAAACAAAGGGAAAATAAGTGATAAAACAACTCATTTTCTACAAAAACATTTTCCATAAAAAACATTTTCCTTCGTACCAAACACACCCTAAGTTCTTTACAATTTGCGCGCTGCTATATGTTAGTACTACAAACATCGTAACATGTATATGCTAAATCCATTTCGTACAAGGATATCATGTAAAGTGGAGTAACAAATATCAAGGATATTCAGAAATACAATACTGCAATAATACTAGATAAAAAAATCATGACAAATGGATAAATTCTTTCATGATCTCTCTATCGCCGTTCCTAATCCTATCTGATTTGGATAATATAGAGATAGAGATAGTGATAGTGTTTATACTTCATAGGTATGGAGAAGAGCTGAAGGGAGTAATTTATTACTAGTAATATATGCCAAACAGTCACATCAAGGCCATCATCATACTACCTTTTGCATATCAACTTTTTGTGTCTTTTTCCACTTCCCTTTAATTTGACTTCCAAATGCAAAGCAATATATGATCATGAGAACGTACTTATAAATAACGCGAACATTTCCTTTATCATTTCCAAATATTATAATCATGATTCTTAAATGTGAGTAGGTATAGCTTAAAAAGGAAAATAAATTCACAAATCAAAAGTACCATTTGAACGTGTAGTGATCTTAGATGTGTCATAGTGTAATATTTGTATGATTATATATAAGAGCATGTTACTAAAAATGAAATAAGAAAAGAAGAATTCATTCTTTTGTGAGAAAGTAAAAAGAAAAGAGTATATAAAATGGACAGGAACAAACGGACTATAATGCAAGAACTAAATCAGTTCTATTAAATAATTGCGATGAACAAAATCATAAAACCCTAGAAGAAAACATGGCGGTACTCGACATTTTATGAGGTAATTTGCTAATTTCTTTTGAAGATTGAAACACTGAAACAACTATTGCACAGGATAGAATGACATGAGAGATTCATACGATTCATTAATACATAAGATAGGGTCGTAGTACAATGCAATAAAACATATAGGTATTAAAGTACCAGACAGCACTATTTTACAAAAGGAGAAAGTACAAATTTCCACAGTAATTTTAAGGACATCTTCTTCTTTTTTCATACACTTGCCTTGCTAGGTAACGATATCCAGCTTAATATCTTCTTATCAACATCCTCACTAGTGCAGGTTCAGATACCTCAGAAGCCTATTCAAGAATTACAAAAGAAAGTAATATTAGCTAACATTTATATATAGTATCCATCAAAGAGAGAAAGACTCGAATGGTTTAAGTCGTTACGTGCTTAATAATGAGACCAGTTAGAATATTTTACATGCAAACGGCCGGGATCACAATAAAGAACATGTACTTATTTAAGTTCTGTCAAGATATTTGCAGTACTTTCTATAGAGGTAAGTTCTATTAGAAGTTTAATATGTATTAGTTCTATTATATTCAGATATAGTTAATCACTTCGGATAGAATTTTACTCTCTCAAATGTATCCTAGGCATACTAGACCTATAGTATCAACCATGTGTTGAAAGAGAGGATTAATCCTCTAACCATTAGAGTTGCATAAACTGAATTTTTTAATATATTACATTAACAACTAATAGACTTTATATTAATCTCAATTAATTAGTATTGCGGACACTGTTTATTTTTAAATTTTTTTTTTCAAGAATTGAAGGTATTTTAATTGGAATAGGGTAGATAGGGATACATGCGGTAACTTTCAAACTTGTGGCGCGTCACTCCATCACTTTTGGCCATTTTTATTGCTTCTACCACGGCTATTTGTTTATGAAAATTTGTTACTGAATCTCGAAAAATAAGGCAAGAGTTTAAGTTTTATGTACGAATAATATAAGAAGTGATTATAAAATAAGGTTAATTAAAAGAAATTACAGCTAATTATATTTTGTATGCATTTATGTGTAGGCTAAAATAAATTAACATGCTGATAGTGCAAAACCTAAATGAATGGATTAGGTTTTAGTATTGTACTAATTGCTGAACTGTGCTACCAATCTAATTTAAAAGCTTAAACTATTTCAGAGAACGCTCTTTTATTTACTTAATTACGTATTAAACTAGGTTTAATACTAGGTTTAGTACGTACCTTTGTTCTTCATCGGCTGCAACTCCAGTGTTGCCACCATTCGTGTAAGTAGGAAGAGGAACAAGGCCAGATTCAATGCGCCTGAGATCCTCAATAAGGATTTCATAGTGTCGTTTGATTTCGTCGACCGATTTTCCACCACCAACAGCCCTAGCCACATTTTGCCAGCGGTCAGGAGTGTCCTTATCAAACTGTGCTAAAGCTCTTTCGAACAACTTGTTTTGCTGCGGAGTCCATGAATTTCTAATAGAGTTTGATGCCATATTATTGACTTGTAGAAGTTTTTAAAAAGTAAAAAAAAAAAAAAGAAGAAAGGAATAGGGTTATGGGTGATTGAAAAAAGGATGGCCAATTTTGATGTTTATAAAGAGGTAAGGAATTATGATTTATGAGGGGTTAAAGGGGGAATAGAGTCAATTGGAGAAGAATCTAAATTTGGCTTAAAGTCGGGAGAGAGTGACTCGTCTCCTTTGGAACCACAAGAGCTGCTGCAGTGCAGTGGACGAGAATCTCTCTCTCTCTCTCTCTCTCTCTCTCTCTCTCTCTCTCTAGACTAAGTTAAGTTTCTTTAACGTAAATCATAGTTGTTGCAGTAAAAATACCAATACGAAGGAATGATCTAAGTGAAGCTGTGGAATCGTTCTGATCCTGGGATACATCCATACATTCTTATGCACGTGTGGAGCCCTGAATTTTCTTGGGATCTTAATTTAATATCTTTTTTCTTTTTTGTTTCTTACCCGATGTTATTTAACAGCTATGAGCCTTGACTAACCTAAATTTGCTTTGATTGACCGATTAAAGGAGGAAATGCTCCGTACTAGGATATATTTTCTGGCTTAGTGTGTGTTGGTTTTTATTGGTTAGGTGGTACAACAATAACAAATTCAGTAAAATTCCACAAGTGGAGTTCGAGGAGGGCAATGTATACGCAGATTTTACCTTTACTTTATGAAGGTGGAAATGTTGTTTCCGATAATTCTCGGCTCAAGAACAGTGAAAAGAAGCAATATTATTGATTAGGTGATGTGAATGGAAAATGAAGGGAAAGAAAAAAAAATTTGAAAAGATTCCTTTACAAAGGAACTATGTCCCATATTGGAGGAGGACAAAAACGTTATTGGATTTGAATATAATTGCACTTCAGTTAGTTCTTAAAGAGTTAGAAAGAAAGTAAGCCTCAATAATCGAAAGATAAGGTGCGCTGATAGCCGATTTTGGAGCTGCTAACCATGGCTAAAATCAAAAAAAAAAAATTGCAAATTTAACCACTTCAAGCATATACGACAAATTGCAAGAATTATTATATGAATTTAATTTTGACAGCAAACTTCGAATATTTTTGCCGAATTGCCTTTACTTTTTAATGTAACCTTCATATATTTTACTATGTGTCAGACATAAGCCATTAATCTTCTGCGGTCATGGCAGTATATCTGAAGATCTAGCAATGGCCATTACCTTAATGGGTTGGGTGGGTGGGTGAGAAGACTTTAAATTTTGTGAATAGTAAAAATCGTTTGGAGGGATTCGTAGAAAAATAGGACAAGAAAAAATTAACGTCTCAGGGCGTGCAATGTACTGGCAATACTGCATGCCTATACAGTTTTAATTCATTCGACTCTGATAACATTGGGAATTGCTCTTTCGGTTCTATTCTGCACTGAGAAACGTTCCAAAAGGCTTGTAGCTGTCCACCTGAATTAATTGCATGTATGTTTTTCTCTATATTATTAATTTGTTTTTGCTTTGTGTTACCACTTGCCCATTACTAGATAGTTTCCATGACTTCGAATCTGGTGGCTATTACTATATCCATCCACTTTTACTCGTAGTTTAATTTTTTGAGAGTCAATTTAACTAATTTTTGAAGATTAAATTTTCTTAATATTTTAAATTTTAAATTTAAATATTTGAAAACTATACAAAAAATCCTATAATTTATGATTTTTCTCATATTAATATGGTAAAAAAATACATATTAAAATATTGATCAAAGTTTACGCAGTCTGACTCTCAAAAAGCGAAACATGAGAAGTAAAATGAACGGAGGGAGTATATTATAGGCTCTGGTTTTCATAACCTTGAATTTTGTCAAGGGATATTACTAGAGCATTCTCCATTGCTGTTCAAATTTCATTTTCACAGTAGTGAGCAGCATAAAATAGTACTCCTATAAAAGATGCATAATCAATAGTGTCTATGATTATTTTCACAGTCGGTTAGTTTGAGTATAGAATAAATTAATCCTAATATAAAATCTGGCATAAAATAATAATCATAGTGTTTGGTTTTGAGGTATATGATAATTAATCTAAACAAATCTCGCATATGATATATAATGCAGTATTTGGTTGACCGTGCTATAATACTTGCATTAAATTATGTGTGATTGTGTGTGTTATTTTATGCATGACATATATATATAGAATGTGATGTAAAAATACGTGTATTGATAATATTTGGATTAAACTATTTTGTATCACTGAGGTTCGTAGTAAAATCTCTTTACCTCTCTGTCTCAAATAACTGAAACGAACACTTCTCAACTAGATTGATTTATTGAATATCTAATGACATATAAACAAATGCAAACTTTTGAACTAGCTGATGGCTAATTAATTCTTAGTCAATTCAATTTCTTTTTGGAGCTGACAATATAATTTAAAGTTTATAATGTATGCTGGATGAGCTTCCAAAGGGTTACTCCGTTCCAGCTTTGGGAGAAGGGCAATATTTTAGGGGTCGTTTGGTTTGAATATAGGTTATGCTGGGATACATTAAATTGGAATTAGTTATGCTAGGATTAGTTATCCTGGTATTATTTTTTATTCATTGTTTGGTATGTTATATTAAAGACATGCATTGTATAATTTCTACGAAGAAGATATAAGTTATCCCGGCACTAATTATCCCACCATCTACAATGTATAAGTTATCCCGGTACTAATTTCAATCCCGGAATAACTTATCCCAGGTTTGCTAACCAAACAAGATATTAAGGTTAAATTTATATCCCAACAGTATTTTTACTTATCCCTCGTACCAAACCACCCCTTAAAGTTTAAAATACTTGTCCTTCTCATTAGGTTTTATGACAATGATTTTGTGATTTAACCTTCTTTAGAACAATGGCACGACTAAATATATGGAACACACACAAAACCCCATTTTCATCAAGGAGTTCTATGGATATCTACACGAGTTTATAATGTACAACACTTAGAAATTAAATTGTGGTAAGATTTAGTACGTTCCAAAGGGCCACAATCCAAAACAACATATATTTTCCTACTGCAAGGTATTGGTTTTGATACTGATATTTACATACTCATACTCCACTTAATTAATTGGCAATCTTGTTATTTCAGCCTCTCCAAAGGACCAAAGGTATTGCTTTCTTCCACTAGCACGGCTACTTGATAAGTTTCCCACTAAGGGTTGGAGAGTTGAAAGAAAACCACGTACCTAGGTATTGTTTGTTTCCGTTGAAATCTGAACTTGAGACTCTATAGGGTAAAACTAATTCCTATTAAATACTAGTATCATATTGGACAGTTCTTGATCATGTGGTTCTTTTTACCACATTTGAAGCATCTATCAGTCATCTGCAAGTGATCTCTTCTCCTCTATTTCCACAAAGAATAGTAGTGATCATTGAATAGCGGGGGCCTAGTGGTGGGTTGCTCTTTACAGTTTCCAGGTAGTGCACTTATCTTGATCTTTTCCTAAGGTGTTAGCCTCTTCAAGGATAAACCAGCTCTGATACCAATTGATGTTTTATACTTCAATGCGATACGGGGAGGGGGGGAGGGGGGGGGGAGGATTTGTGTGGTGTCCAATTTTCACGTGCACTGGATTATCGAAGGACCTGGTTCTTCTACGTGTTCCTTATACTACTGTTGCGGAACAATAAATTCAGAAAGTAAAGAACACAAGTATTTTTACGTGAAAAACATCCGACTCAAAAGGTGAAAAAATCACGACCTACTACCCAGTAGGATTTTTTTCAAACACTTCACTACAACTCTGAGCCAAGAACAAAGTTTACAAACTCTTTGCAAACCTAAGGATTAACTCTAACCCTTATAGCAACCAACAATACGTTGTTGCAAGTGCTTCAAGTTAACTTTAACTTGAACAATACAACTCGAGTTTACAACCTCTTGCAAACCTAAGGATTAACTCTAACCTTTTTAGCAACACGCCACATGTTGTTGCGACTGCTTCAAGTTAACTCTAACTTGAACAATACAACTCAAGTACCTAGTACAATTTGCTTCTAAGAAAGCTGAAAGGTACAACTCAAAACGCCTACTACACTTTGAACTAGAAACAAAGAAAGACACATAAAACTCTTTATGGAGCTGGTTCTTCAATCTGGTTCGTGTCGCTTCAGGATCGAACTCTTAAAACTCACAGGAATTTCTCACAAAATTCCTTGCTAATTTTGCTCTCAATTCGTGCTTAACTTTAGTATGTGTGCATCACCTCTAAGTAAATAAAGATTAACTAGAGTTCTAATGCTTTGCACTTCCTTGGTGGAAGAGTTTTAGTCAACTTCAACTTCTAACTCCTCCTTATCTTGGATAGAGTTCTCTTCAAGTAAGGAGTCCTGCTCCTTATCAAATATGCAACCTTCTCGTTCAGCGAATATCAGATATAACCACTTATACTTATCCCTTTCACGTGCAAGCCTTTTGCTTGATTCGGTCTGTCACCTGTGTGCACTGTCCATGGACCTGTTTCATGCATATGTTCCTTTGTCAATCATCAAAACAAACTTACTTAGGCCAACAAATTTCCCCTTTTTGATGATGACAAACTTCGTGCTTTTCATATGCATGAAACTTGTTTCAACTCAGCTCAACATCAACACACTATTAGAACACTTTTCATTTTAAAGACACAAAATCATCAAGGACCAGGTTCATTAGGTTATAAACATCACAGTCCAAAGCAAAAGCACAAGCATACCTTATCTTTCTCCTTTTGGCATCATCGAAAAATTGCATAATTAAGTTAAGTAATCAGATATATATCAATCATGGCCACTAGGACTACTTCAAATGCAATCATGGATTCAATTTTCTCTTTTCCAATCTAAGGATATTAGCCATCTAAGAAATATCAACAAACATTTGGAGGCAAAATAGTAAATTTCATTAATTGATAAGATCTTATCACAAGGCATAAGAAGAAATAAAACCATAGAACCATGAGAAAAAAGAGAGAGAAATTTTACTTGGGTCACAAGTTACAACTGGGCTAGGAAGGATTTAGGATTGGGAAGGATTTAGGTTCTTGGTTCTTGGCTTGAAACAGTTTCAGCATATCTTGAAGAATACCACCATTAT